GACCTGAATTAAATTATAATAAAAAAATTAAATTAAAAAATTACAAAAAATTAAATTATTATTTTTCTGCATGAAGTACTGTTTATTAATTCATATTACTTAAAATTTAGATTAAAAGTAAATTGTACGTAAGTACAACTTATTAAAGCTCAATTTTTAAATTTGTATAACTAACTGCAAATAAACATAATCAAACATAGAAAAAACATCTCATTTTAAATATAAAAAATCTAAAGTTCTAATAGAATCATTATCTTTAACAAAATTATATTGTTAAGTCAAAAATAAGTTACTTCGTTATTATAACTAAATTAAATTATAATAAAAAATTGAATTATAAAATTATACAAAAAAGAGAGCTTTTAAATAGTTAATTTAACATTGATATCAATGTATTTTTTTTCAAAATTTTATGATATTTTCAAATTTATTTTTATTCAAAACATTGTCTTTTTCAAAACGACATAAACTGTATTATATCAACAGAAACAATAAATAAAACAAAACATTAAAATGAAGATGTACCTCGCTGCATTGTACGTTTATCCTTCTAGTTTTAAATATCGAAGATGTTACATGTTAATCAACGAAATGAAAGCTTTAAAGTTATAATGCCTAAAATATGAATCGGAACAAATTTACGTTTCATTTACATACAATCTTTCCTCTAAAAATTACTAGACATAAATTATGCAAACATGAGTGAGTTATTATACAACCCTTTACATTTGTACAACCAATACAACTCAATCTCAACCGTCAATTTAATTTCTTGAATATGTGATTTCATAAAAGTTTTGACTGTTTTCTAATATAAAGTATTGATCATAATTAATGAACTCTAGTTATCTTTCACAAATATTCAAATCATAATAAATGAACTCTCATCATTTCCATAAATATCTCAATTGATTGGGTTGCATTGGTTGTACAAATAGATATGGTTACATTTGAAATATACCCTGTATAAACATTGTTTTAGAAAATTACATGCCGCAATCAATTATTATAATAGATTTTGTTCCACCCTTAACAAATAATGATACCTATAAAACCCATTGTGATCAATACAAACATTATGATCGATAACCGATTAGGTGCTCATAAAACCAGACACATGCATTCTGGTTAATATAATAACACAAATCATATGAACAAATAATGTACAAACATCGTATTACACCTCATTTGTGATCTCCACTGTTTGACCCTTCTCCAAGTCTCCAAACACGAAATCAAGATTATAAAGCATAGTCGCCACGGTAACAGAACATAATAACACAAGCACCGGCCCAAAGATCCAAAGCACAAATGGAAGCGCTGAATAGAAGAGGCGGTTTCCGACTACATTAAGTACGAAACTCTTATCTAAAAGCTCTGACACATACGTGGAAGTCACAATCGTTGAATCTTGTGGACAGTTTATAAAAAAATTCACTTGGCTTATGCATCTAATCGAGAGAGAATGACACAAGAAAGAGAAGAGAAAGAAAACAAGGAGCGTTCCATACTTTAGGGTCACCATGAACTCTCCACTCGCCCCATAAAGAGTGTCATTTAGTGGCTTCTTAATACTGTAAGTACTGCCGATAACCGCTGCTAAACCAGAGCATAAAAGTATCGATGTGGTGGCCATTAGGGTTGATTCCATGATTGTGTTTCTTAACGTCTGAATGGCTAAGATGTTTTTCTTTTCATTTTCCTGTTGATTAATAGGTAAAATAGATGGATAAGGATGATAATGCTTAAACGTTAACAAACATATAATAGAAACTAATAATTTATCATGTGGTGAATGAATGAAATTTTTTAACGATCACAATATGACATGGTGATGTTTGTAAACTTTCTAAAGTTCAAATAAAATGTATGGTTGTGTACATGTGTTGTAGCTTTTTTAATATTATGTGATGCATGATTATGTCATATATATATATATATATATATATATATATATATATATATATAAGCATGTAAATGAATTGAATATTCAATGAACCGTTTCGTTCGTTTATATTCGTTTACTTAATAAACGAACGAAAATGAATAAGTTTTTTTTGTTCGTTTAGTTAAAGGAATGAACATGAATACATGTCTAATTCTTTCATTTATGTTCGTAAAAGTTCGTTTAGTTGTCGTATAATTAAAGTTATCATGATGACGCAAATGTCAAATATTCTCGTTTTCGTGACATCTTAATTAAGTTTGGTCTGCTTGCAAGATCTAAATTTTATTCGCTATCTTACCTTTATCAATATCGATTCTTAATTTTAGTATATATACATATCTAAATTTTATTCCTTTGACCGAGTCATACTATAATTGTTACAACCATATACTGTCGATCAACCGGATTATGCTTTTTTTTTTAAAATAAAAAATTGTAAGAATTCAAAGTCGTTACATACCTTCATAATATTGGATACCCATAACCGACGTCCATGGGCATTGACACCAATAACAGTGGAGAGTGGCTGAGTTCGAACCTTATGCCATAACCAAAGGTAATAGCTTATAGATATCATAAACGATAATGGTATCAATATCACATCAAGATAACCTTTTTGGAATTCCATTTCTTTGCATACAAATCTTTATTTCTCTTTCCCTCACCCTTATTTTCTAGCGATCTTGGGTAGTATATGGGACAATATGCGTACATATAGAGCGGGTTTGAGGGTGGTGAAAAGGTCAGGGACTTGATGATAATGATATATTGCAATTTTTCAACGATCAATTAAAGAAAAACTTGATTGTTTTAATAATGCATTTTTAAAGAATCTCTAATTAGTCTATCAAATATTAAAACACATAAAATAATTTGACTTCTAAAAGCCTATTAATTAAGGAGGCCACTACAAGTTCCATTTTGTGTTTATTATTAAACTTAGAAGAAATATACACGTATGTCGTATGTAATTCGCAACCTTGCACCACCGTCGTCTACGCACCACCGTCGTCTACCAACGTGGTCGCCATAAGCCACTTCTTCTACCGGTTGCCGCCTGAGAGTGTTTGAATAACCACCACACCTATTGCGGATGGAGAATTTCATATATATATATAATAATATTTTATATATCCTATTAAAAGGAGAAAGGATTACACATAAATGATGATTACAAAATAAATGGAAATAATCAACTAAATAAGCTCCATGGATTGAGAGATAATGGATGCAAATATGGGAGCCCTTAATTAAGGCAAAGGATTCTCAACACCCCTCTGCAAGTTGAGCGTCGGATTTGAGCAGACGTGAAGTTTGGAATGAAAAATTTGAAAAAGATACCGACACACTTTTGGTGAAGATATCAACAACCTGTAAATGTGAGGGAATGAATTTGGTTAGAAATTTGCCAGCAACAACAAGCTCACGAAGAAAGTGGTAATCTAGTGCCACATGCTTGGCCCATTTGTGGGATATGAGGTTGGAGCTCAAAAATATTGCACTTTTGTTATCGCACAATAGAAGAGGTTGCTAAGGAAGAGAAATTTTTAGGTCACGAAGAAGATGTGTGAGCCAAATAACTTCAGTGGCAGTGAGACCAAGAGCACGATACTCATATTCACAGCTTGAACGAGGAACGGTAGGTTGCTTTTTAGCACTCCATGAGACCAAGTTTCCATCGAGATAAATAGAACAACCAGAAGTAGAGCGACTAGTGTCTAACTTGCCCAGTCGGCATCTGAGTAAGCAACTACAAGACTAGAAGTGGTGGTAGATGGATGAAACCTGAGGCCAAAAATGCAGTATGCCCTTAACATAGCTGATGATGCGCTTGACAACAAGAAAGTGGTCTTCAGTCAGAGAGTGGAGAAACTGACTAACAAAGTTTACAGCATAAGCAATATCAGGGCGAATGATGGACAAATACTGTAGATCACCAACAAGAAAGTGATGAAGAGTAAGGTCTGAAAACAGAGGACCATCTGCAGGTAGGTGTTGAGAGACAACCATGGGGGTGTGTATTGGCTTGTTGTCAAGTAGTTGAGCTCGTGTGAGGATGTCTCGTGCATACTTCAATTGGCTGATAAACCTACCATCAGTGCTGGGGTTGCTTCCAGACCAAGAAAATAGTTAATAGAGCCTAAATCCTTTGTAGCGAACATAGAATTAAGCTTGCGAGTAAAGTTGTCAAGAAGAGATGGGTTGTTTCCTGTAATAATGATATATCTACGTAAACAAGAAAATAAATAATATCAGATTGCTTGTGAAATACAAAAGATGGTGTGTTGACGCGGCTGCAATAAAACCCAATTGAATGAGAAATGAACTGAATCGCAGAAACGAGGCACGGGGGACAGTTTTAGGCCATATAGAGCTTTGTTCAACGTGCAAACATGATTATGAAAGCGAGGATCAATATACCCTTGAGGTTGTTCCATATATACCTGCTCGATAAGATGACCGTTGAGAAATGTATTTTTTACATCTAGTTGGCAAAGAGGCCATTTGTTGGTCACAACAAGAGAGAATTACACGAATAGTGGTGACTTTGATTAAGGGGCTGAATGTGTCGGTATAATCGAGGCCATACACTTGGGTGTATCCTTTGGCAATAAGGTGTGCCTTAAGACGCTCGACAGATCCATCAGGCAACTATTTTGTCCAAAAAAAATCATTTTTGAACCCACTATATTCGTGTTGGTAGGACGAGGAACCAAAATCCAGGTTTGATTCTTTCGTAATGCTTGAATTTCTTCATCCATGACAGCAAGCCAAGCGGGATTTTTAGCTGCATATCTGTATCTCTTTGGCTCAACGAAGATGAGGAGGGTAGAAAGTAAACCCAAGGATCCTAGAGAAGCAAGGTTCGCTGGATGTCGAGGCTTGAAAATACCAGCTTTGGCTCGAGTAAGGAAACAAAAATAAAGGAAAAGATAGTATATAATCAAATTAGAATCAATCCCGTAAAAACCTCTTGTCAACACTCCCCCTCAAGGTGGAGAATGGATGTCGATCATTCCCAACTTGCCTTGAAAAAAATCTTCCACATACCGCTTTAGTTAGCACATCTGCAAGCTAGTTTTTTGAGGTTACAAAAGGAAGTTCAATTGTCCTTTTCTCAAGATGGTCCTTGATATAACGACGATCAAGGCATAGAGGAAACTTTGACCCTTAAGGTAAATCTTGTGTCAAATGATTTTATGAGAACATTTAAACAATAAAAACTATATGTGTGATTGTAGTTGGTCACTTTAAGTTGTGACATTTCCTATGTTGTAATGCAATGGATCTATAGGCATAGGAGTTGGTTTTATTTAAAATGAGATGGTTTTCCTGTTTTGTCACTAGAAATAGGCATTGGGTTATTGGGGGCGTTATGATACAAACTCTTGGAGTTGGGTACTAGTCATTGATCATATGGTGTAATTTCTAGCGAATGAGTATAACTAGGATCATCGGGAGCTTTGAACTATAGATCACGGTTGTTTGAGTTCATTGGCCATTGATCCCTAGTGTAAACTCTACAACATTGAATTGTGCTCTATTTTTCTGTTCTGCCCCTACCCATGGAAATCGGATCTCTCTTGTCATCATCAGATACGTTTTGGACCTTGTGGTCCTTATTTGAAATATATGAACTTGGAATTCAAATCAAGCTTATAAACCTTTATTATTTTGGTTTTTTGCCTTATTTGTAAACTATTTGATCTCACTAGGAGTAAGCCTAACACTTTCTTAAAATAACAAGTTTATCAGGATCTCTTAGTGGTAGGACTTCGAAGGCTTGAACCGAGTAATTAGATGCCGGTACAGGCACTTTTTGGGAATTATAGCTTTTCTTTTTGTTGGGTTACTTTTGTCTGGATTAGTAGGTTGTTATTTATCCTATATTCCATTGGGTTGTAAACGTTACACAATTTTCCCATCTTGGGTGATTTTTATTTATATAGGTGTTTATTCTATATCAATTTTAAGGGTTAAATTTACTCCTATTTTAGGGGTGTTACAGGGATTCCAGATGGAATTTAATTAATTAGAATCCGTCTTGAACTATTTTAAAGATTTTAAAAGAACAATAAGAAATTATATTAAATTTTCGGATATTTACCGATGGATTTTAAATAATTAAATAATTCGTCGATAATTATAAAAATTTAAAAAAATAAAAAAGAAATTTAAAATTACAACAGATTTGTCACCGAAGCCAACAAATGTAGAAAGAAAGCAACTTTCCTAGAAACCCCGGTAAGTTGCCACTGATTAGTAACAAAAAATTTATCAGTAATTTATGTCAGTAAAATTCTACTTCCTATAGTAGTGATCTCTTCAGTTATATATATGAATAAATTTTAATAAAGTATTCTATAAATCATTTAACAATCAAAGAAAAAACAAATAAAACATTTCATTCAACATATTTATAGTAGAAGTGTAGAACTATAGAAGCATTAACAAAGATAATGTACAAAGCAAAACAAAAGGAGAAATATATTTTGATAAAAACTATATCATTCACTACACGAAACATCCTCCAAATGTTATATATTAAACCAAATTGATATATAGATGAATGTCGTGACATGTTCAAAGACATTGACAAAAGTTGCTTTCATAAAGATGGATGCCTATAACTGATGTCCACGACAATGGCACTAATAACAATTAATTTCATACTTTATGTTGTAACTAGAGGTGATAACCAATATATATCATATAAGACAGGGGACCATCTAGGGATGGATTGGGAAGGGGGTGGGGGTGGGGTTCCCCATGCCCATCCTGGTTCTCCTACCTTGTCCCAATCCCTATCGAGGACAAAGCATCGAATTCCCTCCCCTTTGGAATATGGGCGATTCCTCGACTCGACTTCATTGGGGATAGAACATCGAATCTCCTCCTCGTTAGAATATGGGGAATTCCTCAGCCTATGTCATTGCTCTATGACTTGTCAAATTAACAAAGGTATTTTTATTTCACAAAAATGGAAAAAGATACTTGAAGTGTATATGAGATGTTTTATATGGAAAAGAAATACTTGAAGGGGAATGTGTTATTCCATAGAACATCTCATATACATCATTGAACAACCTCAACCGCCAACAGTTCATCATGGAATAAGTCCCACTACATTGCATTATCAGAATCCATGTTGTATATTTAAAAGAGGTTGACCTCCTTGTTTTTCTCACTATACAATCCTTTTCCCACCGATCTCCCTTTCTCCTTTCATAAGCATTAGATGTCATGCTTTCTTTGTCTTCACCACGAAAACAAACATAGTTTTTTTTTATCTATCACGCTGAAAGGAATGAATTTTTTTTACTCTAAAGCAACATTCAACACAGAGTCCTGCAATCAACAATTAATTCCTTTTCACAAGCAACATCAAGTTGTTCTGTAAGTACTCTAAACGACCCTTATACTTTCTCAGGAAACATGCTAAAAAGGTGACGTTATTCCTAACATTATCAATTGCACTCCTAATTGGAGATGGTAATGGAGCAGGGTCTGTCGTCCAATTCCATGTCCTCGATCAAGACATGTGAATTGGGTACCATTCCTAGTACCATAATATCACTTCTTTAATTCCCTCTCTCTTTCCTTACAAATATTTCTCTCTCTATCTCT